ATTTAAAAATTAATATCACTCGTTAATTTTATTGTAAATTTGTTAAATAAATAAAATATTTTTATATTGTAACCAATTTTACATTATATTTCTATGGAAAGTATACCCAAGGGAAAATGTAATTTACGGAAGGTTGGGTAATTGAATTTAATTTTAATTTTCACAAACAATAGCTAGGATAGTTGACTGTAAGCAATAAAATTTTGGTTTAATTAACTCTGATATTTCCCGAGAAAATTGTTGTCATTTTGCGCTAAAATGAAAATCAATGGTTTACTATGAGAGTTTTCATTACTTTGCATTCTTGATATGGCCTGTACATACTGTACATTGAAAATATGTTAATATCATATTTAAATATAAACATATATTCAATAATATGTCTATTTAATTATATTCGTGAATATATGCTATAATAAGTTAATACTAATCGATTGAACGAATAATTGTAAACAGAATTAAAGGATGAAAATGTATAGAATTGTGAACACATTAAAAAGAGGCAGAAATAGAGGAAAATCACAATTTCATATATATATTTATTTTTTGCTTTTCTTTACGAATACTTCGGTTTGAGTTCTGGTAATGCAGGAGAAAATCGATTAATCAAAACGTATCATTAGATTTACAAGTCTTTCCTCAACACATATAATAATAATATTTAACTCAAAATAAGTATTATATTTCACAGATTTTTAGCAATTTATATAAATTAGTTTTTAATTTCATGTTTTAATAAATAACCATCACATTAAATTGAATTATCGACACATACATACTTTACATGTATTAACTCAAAATAAGTATTATATTTCACAGATTTTTAGCAATTTATATAAATTAGTTTTTAATTTCATGTTTTAATAAATAACCATCACATTAAATTGAATTATCGACACATACATACTTTACATGTACCGGAGTTATGGTATATGAGAGTTATTCAATTGAAAAGTAAAAATGCAAATACAATACTATATGCATGTAAATTATTGATTACAAAAGCACACAATTTGTTTAACAGTTCCCTTCTGTGGACAGAATATCGAAAACATATGATATAAAAATTTGGATAACAAAAAATCTAATTATAAAAACCGGCGTTCAATTACTTCAACAGTCAAACTACTGGCTATAATAAGAGAAAATTAATATTAAAAAAGCAGTTCATGTTTTAAATAATTTTATGTTAATTTTATTAGTATATTCTTATGGTTTATTTGTTAATCAAATTTCGGATTAATTATAACTTCAATATACAGAATGTAATGTAAAAATAAGCGATTATTGAGTATAGGATTCATGAATTTATTGATTGAGGGTTTGATATTCAGAGCACGTATTCATATGTTTAGAGCGAAAGGAAGCCAATTGTGCTGAATATGAAGGAAACGATGGGAACATATTCTGCATATTATGCCATATTATGCCAGAATCGTATAAAAGTCATGATTTTCTAATTTGAATCTTTCATATCGTTGGCCATATTTTGGTTGCAATATTACATACAAAAGCCTTATACTTAAAAGCCTTTCTTATCGTCTATCGCAATGCCTAACACTTTAAACAATTTAAATAAATGTTATAAATTCTTGTAATGGCATACTTTGTGCCCAAATGTAAATAAATATTATACATATCACATAGAAAATGTTTTCTTGTATAAATATTAGATATAGTGTTATTTCCAAAATTAAAGCTTATTTGTCATAAATGTTTCATTTAATAAATGCATATTTAATGTCATAATAGTATCGATTAATAATATATTTAATAAATAGCAGATTCTCTTTGCAAAAAATTTATTTCTTATGTAATGTGATTTACTTCTCGTGTTATGTTTAACTAAAATATATTTGCAATTCTTATAGTGAATTAAAGAGTGGGTAAAGAATAAAAACAAGTTTTTAGTAAATTTCAATTATAGCACAAGAAATACATTTAGTAAGTATACTATAACTGAACATTAATCAAAATAAATACATTATTGTTCATTTTATTGTTCATTTTAGTAACACTTTTGTCCAAACATTATATAATTATGTTTTACAAGAATCGGTAATGAGAATAAAAGATTGTAAATAAAGTACTTTCTATAAATATTTTCATTATATTATTACAATCAGTACAAGAATTTCATAAAATTCTGGAAATAAAACCTTGTGAGGAATAGGGAGGAAAACATTGACTTTTAAATTTAATATTCTTGTTTATGAATATATTCAGTTCTTTTTTAATTTTCTTTGTATTCAAATGTTGTATATAAACCACAATAAGAATACTCAATATATGTGATGTTATATTGAAAACTCAATTTACAATAATTGTCTCAATAGAATACTCTTATCTTTATTTAATAAATTCAAAAGCCTTATACTTAAAAGCCTTTCTTATCGTCTATCGCAATGCCTAACACTTTAAACAATTTAAATAAATGTTATAAATTCTTGTAATGGCATACTTTGTGCCCAAATGTAAATAAATATTATATTACTATTTATTAGTTGTAATGCGGGTTAAGATATGGTTTATTGTAAATGGATTATTTTATTGTTTTCAATTGATTATTATGTTCACTATTGGCCTAAAATATCCATTGATTCTCAATTTTAATTAATTTGTGTCCAAATCGCATATAAATGTCTGTCCAACCGATGTATGGCCACCCGTACGGCAGCACATATTAGACATTGTTTTATACAAATTTATAAAAAGCTTATTTGACGCGGTTGTTCACCCGATAAATTAAACACATTTATAATGTAAATTGTATAAGTGGGTATGAATGACCACTATAGCTAAAAAATGTCCTGTGTCCTTGATTGTAGCCGTGGTGATCACCCGATGTTTGGTCACTTATCGCTAGTGTTTAAACTGGTTCGGGACTCCGATGCCAAACATGTTGGCTGACGATATGTTCATAGGGTAGGGATGCAAGGAATAGACTATTGAGGATCACTTAGATATGTTTAGGAACGGCTAGCGATTAAATTATCGGTGTTTTTACATTATTTCAACGCTAAAAAATTCCCTAAAAAAGTAATTTTGAAAATAAAAACGCAATTAAAGTTTAATAACAAGGGGTATAAAATCTATACCCATACTGCCTTATACCCTGATATACCCCCTACTGATTACCACAGATACCAATCATTTCTAATGCCTCTGAGAGAAATGGTGTTAAAAATGGCAGATGTCATCAAATCGGGGGTGTCCTCAGATTTTGGTCTTAAAATTACGTTTAATCTTAAATTAGAAAATTGAAAAATTGGTGACACAATAGTAGATAGTAGGTGATTACTTTAGTGAATAGACCGCTGCTCGAAGTTCATTATCTTAAGAATTAAATCGACTTTAATTTTATCACATGAAACCCGCATTACAAGTAATAAAGCCCAATACATATCATATAGAAAATGTATTTCTTGTATAAATATTAGATATAGTGTTATTTCCAAAATTAAAGCTTATTTGTCATAAATGTTTCGTTTAATAAATGCATATTTAATGTCATAATAGTATCGATTAATAATATATTTAATAAATAGCAGATTCTCTTTGCAAAAAATTTATTTCTTATGTAATGTGATTTACTTCTTGTGTTATGTTTAACTAAAATATTTTTGCAATTCTTATAGTGAATTAAAGTGTGGGTAAAGAATAAAAATAAGTTTTTAGTAAATTTCAATTATAGCGCAAGAAATACATTTAGTAAGTATACTATCAATATAACTGAACATTAATCAAAATAAATACATTATTGTTCATTTTAGTAACACTTTTGTCCAAACATTATATAATTATGCTTTACAAGTATCGGTAATGAGAAGAAAAGATTGTAAATAAAGTACTTTCTATAAATATTTTCATTATATTATTACAATCAGTACAAGAATTTAATAAAATTCTGAAAATAAAATCTTGTCAGGAATAGGGAGGAAACCATTGACTTTTAAATGTAATATTGTTTATTAAATATTTTAAAATTTTCTTTGTATTCAAATGTTGTATATAAACCACAATAAGAATACTCAATATATGTGATGTTATATTGAAAACTCAATTTACAATAATTGTCTCAATAGAATACTCTTATCTTTATTTAATAAATGAAAAAATAATTGTAAGAAAAGTGTTGTAATAATTTGTTTTATTTAACGTCCAGAATATAATAATATATAAATCAAATCATTTGTTACAAAAAATAAATTAATACAAATATTTGGTTCAAACTGAATTCGGGATCGGAATGAATGATTTAGTAAATAATTGTAACCAAAAATTACAAATTATACCAAAACTGTAGCCAAACGGGCAAAAGTGTAGAGCATCCGATTGGATAAATCCAATTGCCGTATATATACCAGTCCTCGATATAAAAAAGTATGCATTTTTTCTGCGCTTCAAAAGCTCTCAATAAATGTTTATCGAAAGCAAACTCCGAGTTATAAAACAATGACATTGAAAGCAAACAGAGGTAAGAGATGGACAGCGGATGAACCAATAGAAGAAGCACTGAATTGATTGCTTTATATGCTATTCTTGAACTAAGACCTGATATACATGCGATCGGAACGTAAACAAGAGTTAACGAGAAGGCGAGTGATATATTGACGAGAGATATACAACACATCAATAAAGCCGTGTTTAGAAGAGCCACACATTTGCGTGAATTGCGGTTCAATTGATTGCCTCTCAATAATGGGTTCATTATGTATACAACAGAAATGCTTAATAACGTGTAATAAATAATATCATGCGTTTCGTATTCGGGCACTAAATTTGGATATTTTTCAACAAATATTGGCACCAAAAGTGCCAAAAGCCCCAAAGCGTGACAAACAAAAGTGGTTGGAATAGAGTTCCATAGGTTTCCACTGCTCTCTGGACTCTGTTCTGTAGACTTGAGGTATAAGTAGAGAGCATTGAGTACAAGGGGTGCGGCCAACAAACCAAACGGAATCATGTAATAACCGATAGATATGTAACGACGAGTTGAGGGCAATAAATAGAAATAATACGATCGGTTGAAGCGCTCCAACAGATTGTTTAGACTCCGGAATATGCCTTCAATTACTCGTCCCATTTGAAGGAGTGATGTTCTCAAATGGGTCTCCCTTTTTGGGTCCACTTCTGAGGCCTCCAAAGTGATGGCCTGTATAGCGAAGCGTTGGAAGAGTCCGTGGGCTCCTGTGGGCAAAGCTATGCCCTGCGATATCATCATTGAAGCGGTGGTCGTCGCGTACTCTTTCCATAACTCGAAATCGTCGGTTTCGATGGGTTGTGAGCGGCCGTGAAAAGTGGCCGACACTGACTCTCTGGTGCACAACTCGACCGCAACGTTAAATAAGTCCAGATTAGGTAACTGTCCGTTCAATCCCTCAATCTTTATATCCAAATGACTTGAAACCGATGAATGAATCTCAAGATTAATCGCGGCCTGAATAGGACCCGAACGGGACTCAAGTATGCCGTGATCTAAGACTGGAGTCGTATCGATGTTATGGTAGGCGTTAAGCCATGACTGCATTCCTATCAACTCGTATTCACTGATCAAGAATATGATATCTTTCGCCCAATAGGTCTGACCTGTGGTACAAGTAATAAAGAGTTAAACAATAAATATTATAGCATTAAAATGATTCAAAAAACATTTACGTAAGAAGTATTTGGAGAGCGCTATCATAAGCGCAATGCCCGGCAAAGTCGAGGAATGGGGACTCAGTTTTGTCCGATATGGCGCCGATAGGACCAGGGCTTCAGTGCTGGCCGTCCGACCGCTTCTGAGAATGGCGTAAATATTCTTCCCCTCATATCTCTATACACAACACATTCAACAATACAATCAAATCAAACACATGATAATTGCAAACATATATCAATTGATTACGGGTTTGGAAGCGAAGGGATAATTGAATGTGAAATTATGTGAATACACTTCGAGACCAATTTGTCTGAATTGGTCGCTCAACCATTCGTAGGGAACCGTATGTTCGGGCAAACTATCGGCCAACTTGTCCAGCGATGCCAGTGTCTGGTCGGCCATCTCTTTCAGTGTGAACTCCCTCTGAACGAGTCCGGGAAGTAAGGCGTTGTCACTGA